TCGCCACCACCGCCATCCGCATGGCCGGCTTCGACTACCACACCACCACCGTCATGCGCGCGGCCGACTTCCATAACCACGCCCCCCCGAACGTGCTGCCGCTGCTCAGAACATGGCCATCGGAGGGAGTCCATTGAGAGGGAGAACTAGGTGTGGAAGTTTTATTTGTTTTTTTGTTTGCAAAAACACTGTCACTGTCATGTTCTACCTAGGATGAACAACAACCAATCAAATCTTTTCATTTTAATTTTTAGAGTGTAAGCACTGTTGCTTCTCCAAGCAACGGTGCTAAAAAAATTTGGACTTGTTTTGCCACCTAGGATAACTCCAGTGGAGATTTCTTATAAGCAACGTTGCTTATTTTTAAGATACACCCTAAGCACCCCCCCATTGGAGGTGCTCTAATAGAACTGGTCAAAATCGGTAAGAAATCGGGCAAGCTCATAAAAAATCAATCAAACTAAATTAAAATAGTCTAGTTAAAAAAAATTGAATTTTTAAAATTGAATTTAAAATATTTTAATAAAAATAATATTTAATCAAAATTATAAATTAGAATAATTTCTTTTTAATACTTGTTTCATAAATATAATTTAATCATTTATTTTAATTTTTAATTTTTAATATATTTATTTTTTGTGGTTGTCTTGATTAGAGTGCATGTTGTTCTTAATGGTGAAATTGTGTTGCTAGTATGTTTGATTTTTCTTGGGGTGGGTGTTATGTTTTTGGTGTTCTCGGTGAGGAAGAGGAGGTTTGATGATGACAAATTGATGTGTTGTTAATGCATGCCCCAATTTCTTCAATTATTATGAGTTGCATGTTGTTATAACTATAAGATTCAAAGTTGCATGCATATTTTTTAGTTTGAGTTAAGAGGATTTGAAATTGTTCTTAAGATTGTTGGTTTTTCTCAAAGTTGTGCATGTTTTTTGGGTTTAGGTAGCTTAGAGCACCCATGGGGTCCCTCCAAGTGAGCCTGAGTGGTTGTTTAGAGATGCTCTCTAACTTGGGCCGCTTTGAGCGAATTTTAGTCGCTTTGGATGAGTTTTCAAGCACTAACCTCGCTTAAGAGAAAGATTGACTTGTTTAAGTAAGTAGATGGTTGAATTTGCTTTTAAAATCTTCATAAAAGTTGTAACCCTAAATATTAGCTTTCTAATCGCTTTAAAATCATCTAAAAAGGAGATCTAAAACTCCAGTTATGACATTTTTAATGAGTAAAGTTCAAATTGTTATGATTTTTTTGATTTTCAGTATAGTAGATGACAAAATTAGGACTTGAAGTATTCATAAGAGTTGTAATTAACCTTTTTATCTTTCATATGTGATAAAGATGAGTTTGATTGCATTAGTGAAACTCTAATTGTGTTGTGTTATATGAAAGTTGTCATTATGTGATAGTTAATTTTGATAAGTTGTATGTTGATACATGCTATGTGATGTTTTAAAGTTAACTTATAGTTGAATGAGCATATATGAACTGTATGATGGATGATGTATGATGATAATTATGTTGTTAAGGCAAAATATGGTTTTATGGATATGTTGAATATGCTAAATAATGCGTTTATTATTGTTGTTAAGTTTAAAGTTGGAATACATGTCAATAGATGATTAAGTTGTAAAGATGTAAGTTAATGTGATGTTATGTTGTTGGGTGGTTAAAATGTAAGTTGAATGATGTTTAAACTGTAACGATGTACGATGATAAGTTGTTAAGTTGTTTAATTGTTTAGTTATTAAGCATGTGATTGTGATACTTTTTTATGTTCAAATACAAAGGAACTAGAGGAGGGTAAAAGATGTTTTCAAAATTTAATATCCCATTGTGTGTATATATGTTGTGTTGAATCCTTTTATAAGTAAGTTGGCTTTTGAATGAATAAGTTGTTTTTAGTTATCTCCTCAAGGTTTTATATGGTATCCGTATGTGGGTAAAGTCGAGACATGCATGTATAAAGTGATCATAATATAAAGGTAAGGTCAATCTATACTAATTAAAAGTGACCAATCGAATAAAGTATGAAGTCGTGGCTTAGTCTCTAATTGAATATTTGAGGGTTGTGGTATTTGGAAGATAATTGATAAACTAATCTCATAGGAGACTTAGTGTTGCAAACTAATGTCGTGGTATGCTTATACCCAAACTATTCTACATTAACATAATACCATACTTCCTAATTTAAGTGCCACAACCTAAGAAATCAATATAATTTATACTAGTCGTTGTTTCTAATATTGTGCTAACTGTTGTTTTTTGTATCAATCGTTGTTTTCTAGTACTATATCAACCATTGTGATTTGGTATGATCAAGTCACTTAAACTGCTAACTTCAGTTGTAGGAGATCTCTATGATTGATATGTTTGACGACGCATTAGTCGTATATCTACGTTGTTTTGTTTAATGTGTTGAATGAATTGAAGTTGTATGAGTGGTTGTATTGCTCTAGTTGTTTGTTATGTGTTGGTACTTATCATTATCCATGCTGCTTGTTACATAACTAATTATGGTCATATATGTATATACGTGTATGTAAATGTTGTTAAGTTGACGGTGCAAACGTGTATAAGTTGTTATATGATGGATGATGTGAGCGTAATATTGTGTGAAAACGATGTATTGTTTAATAACTGATGAAATTATCTAAATTGTACGAGTGCTTTAGTATTTTAAGTTGTATGGAAAGACGTGATATGATGTTCTTTTTAAGTTGTTTTTGTTGCATGTTGTTGTATGACGTTTCTTTTGTGTCACAAGCTTATCCTATGTTTTTTCTTGTGGTTTAATATTACTATAATCATACTTGGTATGAAAGCATAATAGGATTAATAGACTGGGTTTTATTGTTTGATGGTGAGCCATAGTAGAGGTGACTTTCTTTTAGATGTTATTATCTTAGGTAGTTAGGTTTTGTATTGACGTTTGATTCACAATTAGGTTTATCTTATATATAATAATTACTTCTTTTATATGAAGTATGTATACATATTTAGGAACATTTATTTTATTTTCTTACATATACGATTGCTTACATGAGATTTATCTATTTATTGCATGATATCTTACAAATACTTTATGTTTGTGTTTTTGTTTAATTATTACTGAACTATAATAAATATAATGATCAAGTGGGTCGTTACAATTATATGTTATAAAAATTGTAATATCCATGAATCATAGAAACACAAAATGTCTTGATTTCGTTAATATATATAATTTTTTATAAATTTCAACCATATATAGCAAACATACATGTGCAATCAACAATCAAATAAAATACTAATTATATTTTTATTTATTTTTATCGTAATCCACGCCAAAAACCGACTAAATCATCTTCTCTCCCAATAAAATAAAATAAATAAATAAAATTCAACACGATTAGATCATAGTATCATACCAGATCACATGCATAGCTGATCTAATAATTCTCCCAAAAGTTAGTTCACTTTATCTGTGCGTTAGATAAAATAATACAAAGTACAAAATTGTTACTTGTAAAATAATTTCACATACATCGTAAACCTCAAAGTATGGGTATAATGAAATAAAATAAAAATATTATATTAATGTATAGTATTCATTTTCGTATAATAAACACGCGCATGAAACTTTTATTAGATTTATTATTATTATTATTAAAAAGTATCTATTATCAAACACACAGTGAATAATTTTTTTCAAGAGTTTACTAGGTGGACATTCTTGCAAAAATAAGAATTTGATCACTTAATTTAGGGATTGCGTCAACTCAAGATGATAAACTTTTGTTAGTTAAACATTATCAGATAATTTAAATGATTTTACTTTAAATGTATATAATATTTGAAATATTTTAAAAATATATACTTTTAATTCACTGTTCTATAGTTTGTTTTCCAAACTACCTTGGTGACGACAAACAAACTACCATTCCACGAGTCCCATCAACAAAATTAAATTTTATTTTTTTTTAGTTCGTCCTGAAGTATCCACCGCCGACAACAGTGACTAATCTCCTCGCTACGTTGGAGGCACCTCAAAAGGTGGGATAGTTGGCCCCAAGATTTAACGCGGCTGCTTAAGCGTGGATCAACCCCTACCGCTGAACCACACGCTTGAAGTTAAATTAAATTTTATTTAATATATAATATATAATATATGAATATTTTTGGTTCCCAAATTCTTAGACTACGTTTTAGATACGATCCATATGAAAACGAAGTCAAAGGAATGAATGGTAACGTGAACAGGGCAAGTGGCTGCAAAACCCTTTCTTTTTCTTAAATTAATAATTAATAATTCATACAATAATGCCACCATGTTACATGGAGACACATGCCAACGTGCCACGCGCCCACACACTCACACTCACTCACACTACAACACACACTAATAAAATATTATATTCTTATATTATATAAATTCTTATAAATCAAAATAATAATACAAAATGACCCTTTACTTACAATATAATTATAAATTGAATAATAAAAATGACAGCATTAGGAAACTTAAAAATATTTTACTTAACACTCTCATTTCACAATCTCTAATTAGTTACCATAAATATATTAATATTAGAGTACATTCATAATCATTTATTAGAAAATTGAAAATTAATAATTATAATAAAATCAAAATAGATATTACAAAAGTTAAATTAATTTTAATATTAATACTTTATTATTTATAAAACATTACGATCTTACACTTTTAAAAAAAGTTATAATACTCCAACACAATTCTTTCTATATAAATTAAAATATTTACTTAGCATAAAATATTTTTAGAAATTATTTTTCATCGAAAATATTTTTAAGATTTTTTTAAATAAGAGGATTTTAAGAATTGTTATCACTCTCATATATTTAATAATTTGAAATCTGGCAAAAAGAGAAATGAATGAAAATGAATATAGAAATATTGTTAGAACGCGGTATGACTATGGGTTTATTTTTATTAATTAGTTTGAAAATGTAATAGACGCATCGTAATCGTAACCATAACCATAATAAACAAAACAATGAATAAAATGATGCAGGTGCAGCAGAAGAAGCACTAGCACTAGCACCAGACCCACACATCCAAAGCATATACCATTGCATTTCTCTCTCTTTTTCTTTTTCTTCTTCTTCTTCTTCGCTACGTTTCGCTCTGCTTCCACTCTACAGTATTTGTACGCGTAGCTCTACCACCGCCCAATGGCGGACGCCGACCTCACCTCGCCGCTCCTCTCCTCCGACCACATCGTCGTCACCGTCCACTCCTCCGCCTCCGCCGCGCCCTCCGCCAATCCATTCCGCGCGCTCGGCTGCGACGACGAGTTGTCCGTGCCGCCGCCCGTGACCGTGGACCCCTTCCGCAACGACACGGCGGCGATAGAGGGAATCTACGAGTACGTGAAGACGGTGGTGTGTCTGCCGTTGGCGGTGCTGCGGCTGGTGCTGTTCGGGCTGTGTCTGGCGGTGGGGTACGTGGCGACGAAGGTGGCGCTGGAAGGCTGGAAGGACAAGGAGAATCCGATGCCGAAGTGGAGGTGTAGGGTTATGTGGATCACGCGCTTGTGCGCAAGATGCATTCTCTTCTCCTTTGGGTATTTCTTCTTCCTTCTCTCTCTGTTGAATCTTGCTTAATTTCTTTTCCTTTTTAATGACTTAGGTCTGTAATTGGTTGTTTTTCTTTTTTGAATACTAAAATTCATCTGAGATCTTAGTTAATTTTTTCTGCTGCTTGAATGCCGTTCTGTTTGGAGAGGGCTGGTTTGGAAGTTGGATTTTTTTTTTTTTTTGGAAATATTCTGCTGGTAATTTGGGGGAAATGATTGTTTGGCTACAATAGCCGATTTTTGTGTTTTGGAAATAATTTTTTTTCTTCTAGAATTGGAGCGTGTAGGAGAAAAACAATGGTCGAGACTTGAGAGTACATGCAGTGAGTTTGTTGATGTAGTATTATAGTACCCGCAATTATTGCTCCTCTCGCATGGTAACTTGTTATTATGTTGTGATGGGAATCACGTAATAAAGACTGGATGGCGTATGGATCATAACTGTGGTTGGTGAGGAAAATGACAAAGATTTGGGCTGTGAGGATTGAGGAAGTGAGAAGTGATTTTTTTTTTTTCCATGTTAATAGGAACGGGGCTTGTAATTTTTCTCGTTATTTCAATTTGTGGATAACTGATTTATTTAGTTAGTTATTCAGGATTTTGGTTTTATTCTTGGGTTAGGTGGTGGCAGATGAGAGGGAAAAACAGGAGAAGTGCAAGTCAGAGAATGTTGGTTAGAATTGTCTTTTATTCAAGTAGTTACAGAATTTGTGTGTGCATCTCCGCTTGGTTTATGATAATTGCTTTGTTTTGGGAGAAAAAGAAATGAAATATTTTTTTATTTATTTATAATTTTATGAATAAGAATCAGGGGTTTCCTTGTAATGTTATGTTTTATGGAAGGGAGCATATGGGGATAGAGTCTGTCATGTGTGTGTGTGTGTGTCATGTGTGTATAATTATCTACTGGTTTCATTATAGAGAGAGAACACTGGAAGTGGAAACCAAAGGTAAATTAGGAAAAGATTGAAAGAAACAAAACAGTGCATGACTACAAACTTCTGGTAGATTCCCTGTTTATGTTGTCTCAATTGAAAGGAGCATATGATTGTTAGGTTGTTTTTACTTGGAGGTTGATTTCAGTTTCATTTTATATATTCATGTCTATGCCTTAGCTTATTTTGGTTCTGAATCTAAACCATAAATATCTTAGTAGTGTTGTCTCCTTCTATTCATTGCAGCTATCAGTGGATAAAACGGAAAGGAAGACCTGCACCAAGGGAAGTTGCTCCAATAATTGTATCCAATCATGTATCTTATATTGAACCTATCTTCTATTTCTATGAATTATTTGCCACCATTGTGGCATCTGAGTCTCATGACTCCATACCTTATGTTGGCACCATTATTAGAGCGATGCAGGTAATTACATTTCATGGTTATATTTTATGTATGCCCAGTTATTAATGTGAGATGGCTTTCCATTCAGCCATTTTTCATTTCTTTTCACATTTTATGGTTTCAGGTCATATATGTTAACAGGTTCGTACAATCATCAAGGAGGCAGGCCATCAGAGAAATAAAGGTAAAACATTTCTTTTAGCTTGCCTATTGTTATTTTATTCTACATCTTAATATTGTCTTTTTTCTTTGATTATTGATATGTTTGTCAATTAATGCATAGTTACCCCTCTTTTTTCAATTAACTCTTTAATGCCTCTAGTTTTGAACCAAATCTCTACAAAATTTCGTAAATTATATTTGGTGATTTAGGAAGTATGCTAATGAGAGTAGCACAAGACATGCTAATAGTAGTTTTCTGTTCATGTGCAGTGAAGTGATACCTTTTTTTTTTAAAAAAAAATTTCTGTTGGCCTCCAGTAGCGGTTACATTAGTATAGAATGTGCAACATAAGTTTTTGAGATTGTAAATAAGTTAGGAAAAGTCTAGTAGTTGGCCATATACTCTGGAAGTTACATTAGCTTCAGATTGTGGAATTGAATAGCAAGATGCAAGAATTACTCGGAACTAACAGGGCTGAACAACAATATGTGGGGCATGAATTTGCTTCATATAATTTGCATGTTATCAATTTTATTAGCTATTTGATACAGAAATCTGCTTTCAAGGATCTGAATAACAGAGAAGGGCCTCTTGTGATAGATTTCCTCGAGTACTATTATTTCCCGAGGGAACCACAACTAATGGCAGGAACCTTATCTCCTTCCAACTTGGTGCATTTATCCCTGGATACCCAATCCAGCCTGTAATAGTACGCTATCCACATGTGCACTTTGACCAATCCTGGTAATTTATGAAGATCTTAGCATTTCATTGCTGTTGTTTGTAGGCATAATTTATCACTCTAATTGTTTTAAATGCAAATTTGTTAGGGGTAATGTTTCTTTGGGAAAGCTTATGTTCAGGATGTTTACTCAATTTCATAACTTTTTTGAGGTATACCCTCTTCTTATGGATTGAGATTTTCTTTATGGTGGTTAATCTACCACCTCTGGAAACCTATTATTTTTGAAATAATTTAGTACTTTTATCTTAAATTGAACAGGTAGAATATCTTCCAGTCATTTCACCCCTGGATGATAAGGAAACTGCTGTACATTTTCGGGAAAGGGTGAGTTTTCTAGTCTTTTTTTTTTAGCTCTCATATGTTGTTAGAGGATTTTAATATTTATCGTCAATTTGCTAAACACAGGAAACAATTGTAATAGTTTGATCCATGAAAAAATCATCTATATATATATATATATATTTTGCTGGGAATTGAGTTGAAGAAGATTCCTTTCATGTAATCAGAGAATCTTTTATCTCTATGGGTCAGTTTGGTGTTCCCTTAAAACGGGTGAAAAATTCACGGATGAACTTGATGTGAAAATTGTATAAAAATTTATTCTTGATTTTTCACCCTTAATTTCAAGGACGGTACTAATCTGATTTTAGCCTAATGTTGTGCAATAATAAAATATGCTAAGTACCAACATTTTGGACATGAAAGTTTGCATTCACATCATAGAAACAGATTGCACACTATGATAGGAACTGGTACCAAAATTAAGAGAGATTGAAGATATTGCAAGAACTTTTTTTTTTTTCCTCATCCTGTCCAAATATGGAAACAGTCCCCAAAAAATATACAGCATGATTCAAAGAATGCTGAGTAATTTGAGAGTCTCAGCCCTCTTTTTCATATCTCTGTTGTACAATCTTGATGCCTCAACACTTTTCCTGATTCTATTTATTCTACATGCAACTAATTAACCTCTGCCTCACATAACTAACGAACTTCTTGTTAGTCAGTTATTACAATTTACAACCCATTAAGGGTTGTGATGCTCTATGGGCTGCTCTGTGCTGTGCCTCGCATAAACCCTTCTAATAGGATGTCTATTCCTTTCAGTATACATCTCTAAGATCGATCTTACAAAGTGATGTCAAGATCAGGGATGTTGCCCGTAGGGTTCAAGCTAGGTGTATGAAATGGAGGATAGCTTTAGGAGTGACTAGTTTTGCAAGTGCCTATTAAAGTCAAAGGAAAATTCTTCTGGACAACTATTTAGTCTGGCATTGCTCTATCTTAGTGAATGTTTGTCAATGGTGTTGCTAACAACAGATAAAACTAAGATAAGCTGAGATGACACTAGTGAGATGGATGAATGGATGTACAAGAAAAGAAAAGATTAGGAATCAATTTATTTAACAGAAAGTTGAAGTAGCTTTTGAAGGGAATTTTCAAAACTTGTCTATTATGTGAACATTGCATGTCTTCTGTAGTTCTGCCCTTTCTTTTATCTCTTTTATCAGTTTGCCTTTTGTTTTGAAGAAATATACTGGACGGTTTGTTGAATTTAATCCTTCCTTGTGTCAGTCGTTAGAAACTATTCAATTAATATGTGGATAAATGCAGACTAGTCGTGCTATTGCAACTGCAATGAATGCTGTGCAGACAGGACATTCTTATGGGGACATAATGCTTCATATGAAAGCACAAGAGGCAAAACAGGTGTGTTTTTATTTATTTATTTATTATTATCGTTATTATTTTTAGTATTATAATAATAATAATTATTGTTTGCAGTTATATTATATCTTCATCCTAATTACTTGATTGCTTTTTTACATTTCAAAATGTTTGCTTTCAATTATATAAAATGGTAAAATTCAAACTCTCGAATCAAATATCAGGTTGGCTTGTGTGTGTGTGTGTATATATATATATTGTTTCCATTATAAATAACATTAAATGTGATGTTGAATATCCAGAGTTTTTCATATAGTCATATTTAAACAAATTATTTATTTTGATATTTCAGTAGCCAACTATTAATGCAACATTTGGTTATCTTGGGTTTCTGTATTATATTTCCTTATCTGTTATGTCACTACACTGAAAAATTGAAGTCATTCTTAGCATTCCGCTTTTATTGTTGCTGATATTTTAACTTATTGACTTTTTCAGGAGAACCCCTCAAGTTTTATGGTTGAAATGACCAAGGTGGAATCAGTGAGTACCTAAAACAAATGAACTTGAATTAATGTTCTATTTTGTAAAATATACCAGTCTCTTTTTTTTTTTTTTTTTTTTTTTCTCCC